TCTGTGTGTCTGTTTCTGCATCTCTCCATTCATGTGTGCCTGTCTACATCTACCGGTATATCTGACATGCCTGGACTGATAACATTCAAACTTCACATATGTCGTACATCTTGAGATGCATGTGGATTCATTTTGTGATTTGATTCAAGATGTCTTTATGGCAGTCATTTTAATGCTAACAATTAATCAAAATCAAGCATTTCTGCCATTCTAAAATCAGATCTTGGTCGTCCAAGGACAGATTTCATTCAAACTTAGTACATGCACGTACATTTGAACCTTATGGGGTCTTTTTCAGATCTGATTCAAAATGGATGACTGGCTGTCATTTTGTTTCAATGAAAGATATTGTGGAGTCATATCTCTGACATATAGCATTCATGTTCAAACTTCACACATTTGTCATACATCATGTCTATTTCACAGTACCATTCAAGATGGTTGACTGGCAGCCATTTTAGTGAAACTGTATTTCAGGTTTTTATACATGGATTTTGTTCAAAAGTGTTTTGTAAGTGACATTTTGAGTGATAGCACATTCATAGACAATGTTTGTGTACACTCACTACAATATAATTTTATACATGTATATACATTTAAAACTTGCAGGGACTACGTCATTTCATGACTTGTTAATTGTTGAAATTGTGCTTAAGGTGTTATTAATAAGCTCCTGCTTTTGAGTCTAGTACACTTAATTTTGTTTAATAAAAATATACTGTAAAAGGGTTAATTATTCAATGGGTTTTAATTTCGCTTATTTCGCTGACTGCAAAAATGCGCTAAATTAAAACCCAGTGAATATGTAAAATTTAGCATAGAACACATTATCTAAATGATAAAACCGTGAATTTAAAACCCACTGAATGTGCCTGAAATGCTAAAACAGCAAAATTTAAACCCAGTGAAAATTAATCATTCTACAGTAAATAAAAATTTAAATTGCTGGTGTATTTTCAGTGAAATTACTTTTTTTTTTTTCATCCAGGCTTGTGCGCCCAGATATGTCTCTTATGTATCTGACGTTGAGCGATGGGAACCAGTGGGAACTTGTTATATATCCAAGAATGATTTCACCGAATTTGAAGAATTCTCACCCTGTCGTGATCGTAAGTGTTTATATTTCTATCTTTGTCCTATTTTAAATACGTTTTATCCTTATGCACATTGTTGTTGATGCTCCAGAGACTCCTTCATTGTATTCTAGAATCATAAACTATTCATATCAGTTTTTTTTTTTATCTTTGTGAATTTCTTCACTGGAATGAATGTCTTTTGATCACAATAATTGGATTCTTTCCCGTGGTGGTATGCAATAAAAGACTGGCTGGTTGACTTTCAGTATTGAAATGATAATTTGCAACAGTCAACCATATCAAGTGGTTGTTCTCACGACAAAATTCCTACATTGTTTTGGTGAATTGGTTGGGTAGGACCTTGAATTAATTAAGCTTTCTTCTGAACGAAGACAGACAGTTCAGTAATGCTATTCACTTGATATTAATCTGGCTATTTCTATTTCCTCTGACAACTCTAGTATAATTATTGTAATCATGTTGTGGCCTACACAGTTGCTCTTGAATGAAAGTGTACACTTCACTCATCACTGTGACCAGTGACCTATTTCAATATAAAAGTCTAATGATAACTGTATACAAGATGAATTTCCTTCCAGGGCAGGTGGTTATTTGTATTTCAAATATTAGCTGTGGTATTGATCCATAACAACTATATAATATAGAGCACCTTCTTTTCTGTCAGATCTGCTGATCATAAGAAATGCCTTCACTTGTGTAGCATGTGCTCATGTCACATGCTTTTACTAACACTTGCATGTGTCACATGACATTTAAATGTCAGTTTTTAAGCCTCAACAGCTAGATGTAAGAGATTACCTTGAACCTTGACTTTCACTGCAGGCTTATTGTTGTTTTTAATTGTAGCTATATGAAAGCTAAGCAAAATCAGGCCTTTAACTTTGCAGTTTAGCCAGCACCCATTATTGAAGCCAAAATTGATAAATTTTTCGTGGCATCATAGAAATAAATTGGGAATATCAAATGGCAACATAGCACACCGATTTGAGTTCAAGTGATGCCATATATGGTAAAAAGAAAGGAAATCTGACAAAGATTTTAAATATTGAAGTAACCAACTACCTCAAGGAAATCAAATGCAGTAACTGTATGTCAACTATTCTTTAGTTCAACAATTAGCAAATCAAGAATGGTTCACAAAACATGATTACATGCAAGTTGTTTATCATATTATCCCCATGGCGATGAAACTCAAATTGGCGGCCATTTTGAATTTTATTAAAATGACATTTGTCTTGAAATAGGTTTGGTTGCTCAAATTTGTTTATTTTAAAATTTATTATTATGTGTGGGGTTTTATACAAATCTGATAACATAACTTTAATGTACAGCAGAATAATTATATACATAATATTCTAATAATACTAAAATACTAATACAAAAATATTGAACATGATCCAAGCACAAAATCTTATTGATCATGTATTTTTACAGTTTTTTTCCCCCCAAAAGTGCCAATCTTGCTGCAGGCATAAGGTGGTATTAATATTTATGATATCCTTTTAAAATACCACACACATTTAATGAGAGAAAAAAGAATAACACCTTTTATCTTCTTCTCATTTATTTATGAATTACTTTTTCAAAGGAGATTTGTTGTCAAGGATAAAACTAAGATTTGTTTCTGTGTTTTGAACCGTGGGATTGCAATAAAGGCTCTAGAAAATAGGATTTCTAAATAAATACTGTATTTGCTCTATTAATAGCACATGCACTTTAATACGTAGTAAATAAAATGGATGTGTAAATATGCCCCACTTATATAAAGTCATATGTTATTGATCTCGCATTCAGTAAATTGTTTAAGCTTTATGTGCGCGCTTTTAATAGAGCAAGTATGGTATGTTCAGAAGACTCGTATCTCCGAGTCCCTGTTTTAATCCCCGGGGCTGCTGGTAAGGATAAAGAAAAGTACTTCTTAACAAATATAAGGCTGTACAGAACACTCGAGTCTAAAAGTAAAAAGAGGATCAAATTGAAAGGTTTTGATGATGTCATCATCTGCATGTTGGTTTTCAATGATTCAAGTGTGTCTGCACAAGATCTCTTCCTCACCAATCTTTTTCCTTTTATCCGGAGCTATTCAATGAATGTAATTTGCATACTGTTGAATAAAACAAGAACCGTCTTGTGTCGGTGTGAACAAGGTTTATGAAAGAAGTGGACTTTAGTTCTGATACAAAATAATGATGTCATTAGCTGCTGTCCCCAATTTGGATGCTGTATGTTAAAAACCATTGTTACATTGTAAATGATACTTGTATGTGACAAGATGAAAGGAATGGTGACTCATTATTTTATTTATCACACACGATTTTCATCTCTACAGAATAGAAATATGACATTCATATAAGTTGGCAACGTTAATGGACTGTCTTTATGCTAGTACAGGATAGAAAATGACAACACTGATGATACCATGCTATATGTAATGGTAGTTACTAGGTTCAGTAATTCAGACATAGATTAGACTGGTAATGTTTAATTCTACATAGAGTGAGTTGTGACTGATATAAACAAGTTTTAGCACATTTTAATATCATGACCAAGTCAGTTTTATGACCAATGTAATATTAATTATACTAAAGAGAATATTTCCTAAATTAGGCAGAAAAATTAGATTAATATAAGGCTGATTTTATTTGTTACAGGTGACTGGGGATGGGATCGAGTTGGATTTTGTCAGGCTGGTATCAGTGCTGATATAACACATGTGAGTTGAATCTGATAGTTTGTTTTGCATAGAATGTAGTACACAGGGTGTGATGTGCAAATTATGTTTACATGCAGTCATAAAAACATTAATCACAATTAGGGTGTGGTCTTCATGTCATCATTAGTAGTGAAAACCATGTGGCATTCAAAGATAACTAAAATGTGTATCCTTGTTTCGATATTAGTCAATCTATCTATGTCTATGCATTTATATACATACTATTGAAATGATTGGGTGTCTGTTTAATTTTGTATCTGAGAGTATCTGATAAAATTTAAATGTCTTTATCTGGATTACTTCATTAATATTATTTACAATAAATGCTTACAAGACTTTTGTATACTGGAATATGTTGGAAATTATTACACGCCAATACTTGCAATTACCCAATCTCAATTAAAATTTGGAAAATTTGAATATTAATTAAAATATTTCTGAGCTAGGATTGGACGAATTAATATTTCTCAAATGAATGAATTTTATGAAGTCATTTTTTTTCTTCACAGAATAAGAAGCATATTGTGGTTGGTGCTATCGGAAGTTATTACAATCAAGGTAAAAAACAAATCTCTCTGGTATGAAGAGTGTGTGTGCTAAATTATTTAATATCATACTTTTTATTAGCGCATTTAAATAGAAGTGCCCATAAACTTATTTTTAACCATGGACATGCATGTAATGCTAAAAAATAAGAATAATTATACATAAGACCATATTTGGATAGTAAAAAGTGTAAATAATATATTTTGTACTCACTGTAACATATAATACCCGGTACATGTATGGTGGTACTGTATTTATTAGAAGCATGTAGCAGCCAACAAGTATGTTCTAATGGAATTCTAAGTATACCAAGTTAACACTAAATATGATAATTTTGAACACATGGTTACCTAAGCACTGATAGAACGATTACTATATCAATACATGCCATAATTAATTTATTACCTTAAAAATTTACCAAATTACTCTACTTGACATGCTGGAAGAATATGGTGATGCATATACCCTCTGTTTTGTGATGAATTAAGTTTTCATTCTAAGTCAAATTTAATCACACATAAACACGTCATGAAATCAACTATTAACTCCCCTCACATAGAAATATTCTGAGATTTTATTATTTTGGTCATATCAACAATTGTCAATATTGTATTTACATGTGTATGCACTATTCAGTTGTCAAAAACCTTAATTATCAAATCCAATTTTTTAAATGAGAGGAAACGTACAGAAGTGAAATAGGCAGTTATACATTAAATTTTATTGTTATATTAATATGCATGAAATTCAACATTTCTTGGCAACAGTCTTGTCACGTCAAACCGTGTGCATTAGTAAGAGTTATGTTTTTATTAACATCTCCATTTTCAAAGTACAGGCCTAAATATGAAATTAATGGTTTAATAAGTGTTTTGAGAATACTCAGGAAGCTTGAAACAATGCCTTGTAAAAAAGCAATAACATGGTTTGCTCATTTGCCGCAAGCGTTCATGCTCATTCATTTATGTCACTTTCCATGGTTACATAAGCCTAGCCTTCAATTGATTTTAACGTCATTATTGAAAAATTACTGTGTACAATAGTTATGGTAGATAAAAAAGTCAATACACACAAAATGCATTAAAAACATTTTGTTTCATTTTAGTGGCAAATATGGCTTTTATAATAAATGCCTTTCAATATATTTCAGTAAAATGTACGCTGGTATTACTTTCAATCTGCTACACAAAAAAGATGTTATTGAAAGAAAAAAATGGATGAGAAATAAACTTGGATTAAGTACACCCTACAAGGCAATGTAATTTAGAAAATTTGATTTCTGACATTGAGAGCGTTTTGTTCCAGGAATGAATTCAAAGTAATATGAATGAATGAAAAAATGTAAATTCTAATGTATGATACTACCGGTAATATTAAATTTAGATACAATTGTAACTCAGTTTATTAGTATATCTAGAAAAATACATGTACAGTGTCATGAACTAGAGAAATGTATTAATTTTTTGTAATTGCTAAGATATTTGTTGAGTAAATTATTGTATCATTATTTTTTCAGGTCAGGTATATGTCAAAGGTGTATCAACAAAGTCGCTCTATTCCACTCGAGAAGGCCCGCCCACGGACGATAACAATTATCAAGGTGAGTAATAATCCATGTCTTCAGATTCAGCTTGTAGAAGAAGAAAAACATCTAGAGTGTGCTAGCTACACTGAAATCCCCATTAATGGCTTGATTCTGATCAATAGTCGTAAGGCTTGTGAAGCTGACTCTATTCAGTCATTTAAAATTAGAGTCCACAATGAAAGATGTATAAGTAACAGTTACATTTTAACTGCTCGAAATGTGATTCACAGAGTGAAAATATTCACTTCAAAACATGGCCATTTTCATTTTCTCTGACTTATGAAACACTTACTTTCTCTCAAGTGTTCATTTCAAATAACCAATAAATCAAGTTTTATTTTCAAGATAAGCTAAAATGAAAATATATTAATAAATACACCCTGTATATATTTTTACATAAATCATTGTCTAGTTGTTGTCATGGTAAACAGCTTTAGTCAAAGGCCAGTATCCTGCTTATGTATGAATAAACTGAAATTTTAGTGTTGTATTCAGTTAGATGTCTGACCCTGACCGTGAATAAATCACCACCAAAAAACTGGGTTGTAATCATACAATCTTATTCCCCAGGGGTGGGGTGCAATATGATTCATGTGTGTACCTGTGTTTTGTTGCTTTCTAACTACAAGACCGTTTTACACGAAAAACATGCATGACATTTAACACCCTTGTTTTTAAACTGTTACTTTCAATATTTTGTCAATATAACCTTGCATATTTCCAATTAGTGTCCATGAGAAATTAAAAATCTTGTCGTTTGAGTGAAGCCATAGAACTGACTATCTGAAGGTATAAAAATCCAATCAAGGCTTTAATATAGTTTATCTGGAGCAGCGTTTCAGACTGTCTATATGCACAGAATAGGTATAGAATTGTAAACCTAGCAATCTGCTAGACTCATCTAAAAGTCATAGGGATTCACATTTCAAATATGATGACTCTCTATTGCTTTCATTTGACAGATAAGATTCTGTGCACTCTGACATAAATACTCTATAGCTAGAAGAGGAAGAGTGCAGACAATTTAGTTTATGTCACTAATGCATATCTCCTTTGTGCCTGTACATTACCCCTGAAGCTTGTACTTTCATGATGTTGAAACTACAATTAGCATAAATCTATAGTTACTGATACATTGAATGTACATGTATTATAATGCCTGTTTTATAAATTCACACTTTTTTTCAAATATGCCTGATGATTGGACATGCTCAAGTAATTGGTTCATTGCCTTTGGCATTAACACTGTATTCTTGTGTTCAAATAAAGAAAGTCAGCTCTAGTTTGAAAAATCTCTCTTCATTACGCAGTGAGATTCTTGTAAGGGATCATTACATGCTTTGATTTTTTGTTATACATTTATTTGTCGGGTGATCATTGTTAGCATGGTAGCTGTCGCTCAGGGCTTAAGATGGGATACCCTAGTTTGAATCTTACCTTTGATGCTGCTGCTGCAGCTGCAAACAGAAAATGTAATCAGACACCCTTGCTGCATGGTGGCAGTGAGCTGCAAAAGAAACCTTTGGTTTTATTTATTGATTGCATACACAACTGTATGTGATTTGGGAGGTGGAAAAGTTACTATATAATATTATTGGGCTAATTCCACTGGGATAGAATGGTAGACACACATGCCACACAATCTGGTTGGAACAATGTAATCTTATAAAGCAACAACAGTTGTCAAAAGTTTAAGAATTGCCTCTTGGAACAATAAATATTTTTGTAATATAAAATTTTGGAAAAATACTCGACATGTGCTCTAACTGATGCATATTGTATTATTTACCCATTCCTGCATATTAAATACATGTCTTATTGAGTGTACGATGTAAATTATTCGAAATAAATAATTTGACATGATTTGAGTGCATGTTTTACAATATAATAAACCTAATAACATTATTATTTCATTCTTCATTTCCTCTTCAAATATTATCATACCTTCGTACAACACAACCATTGAATGCAGTTATTTCTAAACTCTATAAAGACACTAATCTTAATTATTTATGTCATTTACAAAAATTCTTGTCAATGAGTTTTTCAAGATTTTAAAACCCAGATCTGAAGATATATACTAATAACTTGCACTCCAAAATGTTTAATATTTTATTTATTAGTTAGTTTAAAAACTGATTCAAGTGCATTTATATTAAAGTGATAACTTTATAATTGCTGTGTACATACATAAAATGCTATTTTTATTACAAGTTTGACAGGTTGGATATTTATTAGTACAATACACTTGTTCTGTTTCTTGAAGCATGTAATGTTATAAAAACCATGAAGCAGAAAGCCAAAGTCTGTCTCTCTCCTCTTATAGGTTATTCAGTAGCAACTGGAGAATTTAGTAATGATGATAATGATGAAGATTTTGTCGTTGGAGTACCTCGCAGTAATGATTTAAAAGGAATGGTAAGTTACAAATCAACACAGATATCATTGCTTTCTATGTACTATTGATTAAAACAAACCTTGTCTGAATAATTACATGTAATGTCTGGATGGGAAGTATAGCTGCCAAATGACTGCAGTGGTTTTCCTATCCTGGATATTTATTAAACATATCATCATTAATATATAGCATTACTATGCATGTTTGCTTTAAACATTATACACATCATTCTGTGCCTGCCTGAAGCATTTTTGCAGTGTAATCTTTTTTTTCTACTTTTAAAACTCATCTATCTTTGTGTCTAATCACTACTGCTGCTGTTGTGTTGTTGTGTATGAACTTTAATCTTCTGATTTTTACATCACCATATTTTATATCATTCGAGAGTACAATACCGCCGTTATTCGTGTGATTTATCTAATTTCAAAAAAGGGTCATTTCTCATGAATTCATAAACCCTTTGGGTTGCCGCTGTCTTTATATTTTGTCTTTTAATAGTGAAGTTATATTGCATAAACTCTATGTCAAAATAACCATATTTGCTCTATTAGTAGCACATGTGCTTATACATACGTCAGTGCTAGAGGTGTATCAGTATGCCCTCTAAGCAAATATAATGTGCCACTGACATACAAAGATTTTCTCTGATGAGACTAGTTGTGTATACATTGGCGTGTCATTGACGCAACAGAAACATCTCACTATGGAATTTATAATTTGGTAAAATGAGATTCACATTTTAGAAACAAAATAAGTGTTAAAATGAAGGAAATCATTGGGGAATCATTTTTGTTACCTAAACATAATTTTTTTTTTTTGATGACCAGACCTCTCCAGCAGTCAACAAGCTGACTGAAGTTGAATTTTTGGATTCCACTTTGAGTCAGGATCCCTACAAAATCAACCATGTTGGAAGCACACTGATCTGTGTGGTCAACATTGGGCATACTGTTAAATACTTTATTTTCGCTGGAATTAATTTTTTCGCTGAATAGATGTTTTGGATGGATATTATTTTCACTGATTTTTGATGAGTTGAATGTAAAATACAGGGAAAAAGGTATATTCGCTGGATTTTATTTTCACTGAATCATGCCTTCAGCAAAAATAGTGAAAATTAATTCCGAAAAAGCGAAAATAAAGTATTCCACAGTATTTTAATAATCCTGCATACACTTCTATGCGCTTGTAATAAAGCAAAAATGGCATTTACTTTTATTCAATATGTACTTCTAACAAATTGTTAAATGTTGAATTGTTCATATCACGATTACTAGAAGAGTAACAGTGTTTATATATATTAAATAATTGTATTTTTTGTAATGCAGGTAAAAGTATTTAATTCTCAGCTACTACTCCTACATGAATTACTTGGTGAACAACTAGGAGCTTACTTCGGGTTTGCAGTAGCTGTTCAAGATGTCAACAATGACAGGTAAGACTTGAATTTAATATACCACAAATTATGCTCATAGATGGTGTGGTGATTATATTTAACCAGCGTATATGTGATCCTGTACTGCCTGAACTGATCATAGTAATATTTGAGTTATATATAACAGCCCAAAATGCCAGCAAAAAGCATTTTATTTAAAATGATTCACACCTGCTTTCAGTGATGGGATTTGTGAGGTTCTTAACACTTTTGAAAATGACTACACAAGATTTTCAAAGCACTCATTTGGGAGGTAACAAATTTCACTACAGTGTTTAGCAGTGTAGAATTAAGCACCCCAAGGTTATTTTTCACTGGTTTCAACAGTTGTCAGTTCTGTATTCATTGTTTCAGATAACATGATTCATCTGTGTGTATACTATGCTATCTGTCTATGAATTTTTCAAAAGCAGACATGTCCCTTACATTATTAGCTCTCATGCCTTCAAATTTGATGCACTAATTTTTCTTGTACTGGAATATGAAAATATATATATATATATATATTAATGGATGTACCATACATACATGCACATGTATCTAGTAGAGCTAATAATATAGCTTGGTACTAGTACGTGCATGGAAGCTTTGATGTATTGTTTTCTTTGTTTGTTTTATGTACCATACCATAAATAAACATGCTACATGTGTCAGCGACTACAGCAGTAGTTTTTGTTGCAAATGTCCAATTACTAAATTACGCCTTTTTTATTGTGATTTTAAGAATACATTTAGTACATGAGACTTGATATCTATTCTGAATATCATGTTTATGTTCAATGTCATGTGGTATGTACATGTATGTCCAATAGACTACAGGCAGTGAATCCATAATGTGAAATGAGTTTACAGAAATAAACATTATTTATTTGGTCATAATTTTCACTGGTATATTTTGTTTACTTTTGCCAAACTGTTGTTTTCACATGGAATTCCATATGACCTTTATCAAGACATTTTATTCATAATAATCTATAATTGTACTCAGAATCACCATTATGTTCGTGATACATAAATATGTAATGTAATTTTATTGGCACAGATTATATGATGTTGGAACAGACTAAAAACTTGTCAGTAATATTGTTGATACATGTATGTTATAAATAGTGTTATTATACATCTGACATCGAAAACAATAGAATTTACTCATCTGTAAAACACCTTACAGATGTCTTCAAAAGTCCTAAGGACGCATTTGAATGTCTTCCATATTTAGAAATTGTGCGTGGCATTTACGTCACATTCGAGCAGCTGCTTTTGTTTACTTCGAATTTAGAAGCGATATTAGCATGTGATAGAATGAGAATCACTGAATGAAAACGTTCACACAGCGCAAAACAGTCTTCGATGCTATTTCTGGCTGCTATCTCCCATTAAATTATTACTACAAGCAGGATTGAGGTATATAATATTCTTCACTCATGTAATGCCATCTTGTGAGTCTTCATCTAGTTCTCCTTTGGCTTGGAGGGATACAGCCACTATACATGGTGTCATTCATCTGTGATGGCACTGCATTAGTTTAGAATAGTGGTTGATTATATATAAATATTATATTGGATAAATTCATCTATGAACTCATTCATTAGTTTTTGTCAATTTTTTACCACATGATACTTTATTGTTTAATTATGATATTGTGTCATTTTGACAGTTACCTGGCAACCATTATCTAGTGACGTCATCAAATTATACAAGGTGTATATCATTTCTTACTAATGGTTTGAAGCTGCACTATCAGTACTCATTAAACACCCATTATTATCTTACATCTGCCTCTCAAAACATAATTAATACTTTTGAAAAGCAATAGAGGTGGTCTAAGTAATATTAATAAGTAAATAAATCCATAGATGAATAATTTATTCAAACAAAATAAATACTGTAAACTGAAATTTTTATCACAGGAAAACTTCAAATTTGATAATTTGTGAGGATGAAATTTTGCATAAGTCATTGTGACTTTGTCTCAAGACAGTCATTTAGTGTAAAAGTGTAATAAAATAAAATAAATGCAATTTAATTTACCTATATATACAGATATTTACTATATATGGTGCACCATCTTGAATACGCTTTATATCTAAAGTAGATAAATATCGTTAAATTAAATTGCATTTATTTTATTATAGTTGTATGCCAGCTGACTGTGTCCTAAGAATCCTAGTAAAATTTCACAGCTAAAGAATTTCTGATAAACATAACTCGAAATGAAAAAAAAAATTAGATTTTGTGAAATAGAAAGTTGACTAGATGATGAAGAGGAAGATGATTTATGAAATCACTAATATTGTATTTTCCTGTCCCTTAATTCTGACTAGAAGCAGTAGAAGATTACAGTAATAACTATATCATTAAAAGTATGTACTTAGAAAAGTGTATGAGTTTAGTAACAACACTTATCACTCTTCCTTCATTTCATTCTAATCAATTATTTGTGTCATAATTTTTCATATCAAACTATAGCCGTAACAAATATCAATGGAAATAAAATTTATTTTTTAGATTGATTCTCAGTTGTATATTGGTTGTGACCACAGGCCCTTTATATAACAGTAATCTATAAAAATTACAATCTGTCTCATTTTAATTCAAATTATAAAATTAAAAAAAAAAATTGATTATTACATACATAAGACCTTGGAATGATGTAACCAGGCTACCTGTAATTGTCTGTGAAAAGCGATACAGTATTTACTCCATTGGTGATGCATGTATCTGTAAGCTGATAATTATTTTGACACCAATTGAATCGTGTCAATCTTCTGTCATCATTTTGTAAAATAGTGAGAATGGTGAGTTTATTAAAACCAAAATTGCAAATTTATTGTAAACTGAATCATTGTTTTGACTTGGAAGACAATTCCATCATTTCCATCACTAGTATTAAATATAAATTTAAACCA